ACCATATCTCCCACAATATATCTAAACTAGTGATGGGTCGAATCCTAATTTTTAAATTATTTTTCCGAATTCGAACTGAACCGAACCTATTATGATTTTAAATCGATTTCTAACTCAATACTTTTTATTATGTATATTGTACCTACCTACAAATTAAATCAACCATAATTATTAATCACTATTGTATTTTAAGTTTTCGTATTACCTATTCTACATTTTAACTTTTAAGTCTAGGTAATTGTAATATTTACAATATATTTAAATTTTAGATAATTTCTTATTATTATTATTTATTCAAAACCAGTATTGTGTTCTCTCGTGTTATCTTGTAACTTATAAAATATTCATTGAGTATTGAGTGTAATATTGGTTGTAACAATACAATCAATACATTTTAATAATATATAAAAAATAGTAATAATATCTATAATTCACAAATATAGAACGATTAGTAGAATTTATAATGTAAGGCGTAAGTTATAAACATGTTTTTATTAACAATACAGTTTTGATATCGGAATATTACCACGGATTTACCCAAAATAGATTTTAACCTCTATAATAAAATGATAAAAACAAAAATAACTAATTTATGAATGTAGATACACTGCCTCTATTATTGGCGATAAACAACTTATTAATGTTTTGGTCGACGGTGGGTGGATGTGTAACATGCGACTGGAAAAATAACATTATAATTAATGAATAACGTGTACTTTACAGATTATCACCACAGAATAAATGAAATCAGATTGGTCACTTCTAAATGTAAATAAAATTCAGCCACCATATTTTTGGAGTACTAATTTTTTATCATACTAAAAGTGATAAAATTTAATCTGTAATTGTTTTAAAAACATTGACGTGAACGTACTTCATAGTATTGTTCATTGTATTGACTCAATGAATATTAGGTTTGTTCGTTTTGTCAAAAAGTGTACACTTTTTCACAACAAGTGTAAACCAAAGCGTTTGTTTTTAAAAAGTGTAGTCTTAAGGCTTAAGCGAGTCCACATAATATGCAAACACGACACGCAGCACACGCACATACACAGCATTCGTCAAAAACGGTGATAGTGTGGACGCATTTGCAAACATCACATACAGCGCATACATGTGTATTTCGTGTTTGCCGGATTGTCGGTTCATCAAAGAAAATTATGACAACTATTGGACGGGGTTTTTCGTTATTTTAGTGTATTTACGGTTCGAATCTATGTCCGAACGCAATAAAAATAAAATGATCTTGGTCACTGTCAGTGTACGGTGTAAGTTATAAATTATAGTGTAGATTTTTTGAAATTACATAATTTAAAATGGACTTCATTGACGACCAAATATTATAACTAATCAATGAATATGAAAAATATCCCGTTTTGTGGGATCCTAAGGATAAATTCTATAAATTAAATAACAAAAAGAAGGATGCGTGGGACGCAATCGCTTCTGTTTTTAAAACTAATGGTGATGTACTAAAGAAACAAATGAATTAGGTTTTAAATTCTTATCGCCGAGAGCGTCAAAAAGTGAACACAAAATGTTTTCAGGTATGGCTTTCCAAAAATGTGAATCACTTTTTGCGATCTTAGGTCCAACTAATTGAAGTAGAATTTCAAAATCATTTATATTCCTACGACAAAAATTTGAGAAATAAATAGCACTATTCATTTTCAAATCGTTAAATAAGTTTGTTCCACTATAGCGAACACGGTTTTTAAAAATTTCACTAACCCAAAATCGACGATCTTTTTTTAATTTATGTTTTTGTTTTTTTTTAACTACTTAATTTATAACTACATACGCGGCACGAGCAATCATCAATTCATCATCTGTATCACTCATTTTTAACGAAATACCTATAACCACTCTGAATGAATACAAAAATTCAACTGTGTTCAGTGTCCACGTAACTTATTTCATTCATGTACAACACGAAAATCAAATACACCAAATACTATGTGTACGGTGAACGGTATGGTGTACTATGTGTGCAGTATGTGAAGTTTGCAAACATCACACATGATTCAAACGCATAAGCTGTGTGTTATGTTTGCATACTACGAGGACGCGCCTTTACACGATGTTTGTTATACAAAAGTGTAACATTAATGTACTTTTTTCACACTGACCCAAGTGTAAGTGTAGGCACAGCGTTTATAACGTAGCGATGATCGTTATCAAATTAAGCCTTATCAGCTAATAGTTTAAACTGCAATTTTAAATAAATTTCAAAACACGACTTACCAAATACTAAATACCGACTATTATAATCGTTTATAGTATTTGGACTCACTGTGGTTGAGTTATAAAAATAATAAAATATATATAATATATGATATTTTTATATTATATTATTATATTTTATTATATTTTTATATATTTAATTATAAATAATATATAAAAATAATTCAAACAACCATCATCGTCGTCATCGTTTATACATATACAGCTGCTGGGATTTTGATTAGATTCCACAGCTCTAACAATATTTCATCATCGGAAGAGTCACAAAACTCCATCACATGCAATTTTTGTATTTCTATTTTTTTTAATATTATAATTGTTAATTATTAATATTAAATATTATACAAAAAGTTTACTTGACTATTGTTCAAAACTACCAATAGAAATAGATTATTGTCAATTATTAAAATAGATAAAAAAGATCAGCTGATTTATCTACATCAAAACCGTTTGTTTTGAAGACTGGAATCTGATCACACCCCTTACATTTCATCCAGATACTATACTAATTATTGTATACTTTTTTTTTCCTTAACGTACAACCCTATTGAGTATTAAACCTTGTTAATTTCTAAATAATTTAATTTATTCTGTGTTATCACTTTCTATCGCCAATAGTCTAATTATTTCTAAATAATCATTATCAATTTTTATTTTTGAAAAATAACTTTTGAAGAATTGTACAAATATTTGGTTTTCGAACTATAGTGGCTATTAAGTCTGGTTCGATAAATATTTTCAAGTTCGATTTTCGAACAGTAAAAGATGCTTAATAGTTCGGTTCGATTTTTTTTCATGCCAAGTTCGAATTTCGAACTGAACCGAATATCAAGGGTTCAGTTCGGTCGAGATTCAAACAGTTTGACTCATCACTACTCTAAACATATTTCATAAACTAAAAATAGAAAAAAAAGTGACATCGAGACTAGAAACCCTTACAATAAAAGAAATTTTTGAGCGTAAATATTTTGAAAATAGAGGTAAAAGTATAGACTTGATAGGTTATAATAGTTATAATACTACATTACTATAATTTACCATAGATTGTTGATAGGTTTATTTTATATATTTTTTTTTAGATTGTATATGTACTCGTATTTTTTAAACCATAATAATACATTTTTCTTACCAAATATATTTTTAGTATATATAAATTAAATAAATATAAGAAAAGCTTCTGAATTTGAATTAAACATTTAGAGAGAAAGCTATAATTTAAGATATTTTTATTCAATTTATTGTTCAAACAATAAGAAAGTATTTATAATTTTGTTATAATAATAAATCTCTAAAAAGACCAAACACATTAAAAATATTAATAAATGTTTACATTTTAATCCTATGCTAGTTGTTCAGAAAAGTATTAAATAGAAATAGTTAACAAATAGTTATTTCGAATATACATACAGGTACTGAATTATGTAACATTTCCTTAAGGGGTTGTTGGTAAAGCTTATCTTTTGAGTACTGGATATACAGTTTTTGAAATAATAATTTAAGTAATTGTTTATAATGATATTAACAAATAATAATAATAATAATAATAATAATTTATGCTTGGTAGGCAATTTTAAAAAGAGGTACATAAAAAATAAAAAATATTGAATTTATGATTAATGCGATAGCTAGATATATAAATATAAATTGTATAAAAATACAAAAAGAAAGTCCAAGAACTAAAACCTATATTTGAATGGTCTCAAAGCTCAGAATTTTATAAATGGATGATTTTGTGTATGGTAATTTGGGTAGACATGATGAATAGTCTTTACTATATATTGTCATAGAAACATAGAATAGAACACAGAATAAGATTAAGGAAAACAGATCAAGAGCATCTATAAAGTCATTAAGAAGGGAGGAATTAAATATTTTAATATTATTGTGTAAACTAACTAAAACTAACTACTTGCAGCTGCCCAGGAAATTAAAATATAATCCACAATGGAATGCACAATGTTTTTGAAGTGTTAAATAACATTATGCTTATGAAAACAACTATTTTGATCAAACTAAACAATAACTTGATACTTTAAAATCAACCATATTTAATTGTGATTTTTTTTATTACTCATTATTTATTTCTAAATACAACATAGAAAAAGTTCATCTTTTTTTTACATGATAAATATTTTTTAAATTTATGAAGTAAATATTCAACATTTAAAAATTACAAGACAATTTATAAGATTTTATTATAATTTAAATTTTAATACTAAAAACAATTCCTATAATAACTTAAAAAATGAACTTAATATCTTTTACTGATGTGAATTTGATTTATTTAAAAAAATTTGAAATATAGCAATTTTTTTATTAAATAAAATTATAAAATTAAAAATTATTAAATGGTTAATACTTGTAAATTAATATATAAATATATAAAAACTTTAGGAGTATTATTATATTAATAAAGTATGACCAGTTTCAAATTAAAAATCTTCAGGTGAAAAATAAAGTGTGAAAAAGTAATTGAGTTGCAAATTTTTCATATTCAGTTTCAATTTTATTAACCTGACAATTATTAATTTGAAACCAGTCGTACTTTACAAATATAATAATATTCCAAGCTTATCTTATATTTATTTATTTATTTATTTACATATAAACTATTTGTTTATTTATTTATATATTATTTTTTTGTATTTTAGATTTGAGTAGTGCAAAAGAAACTTCCCTTCCAATCTTGTAATGATAAAATAAAGCAATTTTATCCTAATATAATTAACACTTAAGATACAAATTTATATTAATACCTTCAATGTTATTGATATCATCTAGCTTCTTCTGATATTGTGAATTAGATTCACCTTCTTTGTCAGTTGAGTCAACTGTTTGATAAGCACCAACTTTGTCAAATCCAGGCATGGTTAATATTTGTAAATCATCACATTGTTCAAACTAATATATAATGCAATTATTAAAAGTATATACAAAGATAATTAAACATTTTACCTTATTTTCCACATTAACAGTCAGAGGAATTGAAAATTTTGGATTTGATTTTAGGCTATCATTTGTTAACATCCCATTAATTCTTTTATGATTTCCTACAAAAATGAAATAAATAATCATATTTATACTAAAATCAATAATATAACTAAAAAAGAATTTTAAATAAAACTCCAGAATAAAAGTAAAAAATGCCATTTAAAGATTTAATACAAACATTTTAGATTTAAAATATAATAAATTCAATAGAAAAATTTGTCTACGTATAGGGCATAATTTATTACCCTCACACAATTACAAATTAAATTTAAATGGTTCTCCATTTTGCACTCTGCATATGGAGGAATTCATCTGCGATTTGTCTCATATTCTTTTTGATTGTCCTTCGGTCTCCATTAAATGTCAGAACTTAGTTTCTTCCCTTAATTCCCTGAATGTTCTATTTAATTTCTAATCCATTCTAAATTCTAACCCTGAGCTGGTCGTTATCATTATTATTTCTTTTATTTAGGAGGCTTTATCATCTGATTATTTTTGTTTATATACTTTAAATTTTTATTTTTAGTTATATTTTGCTTTGTATTATTCATTATTCAATTTGTTTTTTTTTACATTGGTTGTTAATATTTTGTAATTGTTGAGCTAGATTTATTAATAAAAAAAAAAAAAAAAATGTATTATTGAGTTGATGATAAACGTACACAAAAATAAAATATAGTGGTGATTAATCTTAATATTCTGTTACATTTTAAGACTACTTGAAAACTTTTATGCTTTTATTTTTTGTTAATATTGTAAAACTTATCAAAAGTAATTAATCCATTAATTCATTATTTAAACATGTTTCATCATAATTATCACATTGAAAATATAGTAAATAGTTTTAATTATAATTACATAAATTATCAGTTAATATATTGTACATTAAGTGGATACATTTATAAATTATATTATAATGTATGCTACGGTATTTTTGTTGTATGCAGTGTTCCATACACTTATTGTCTACCACACATGATTTTATACTTTATATGCAGTCTACCGCAAACCTGTTATCTGTCGCACATCTATATATATATTATAAGTCAGTGGTTCTCAATCTTTTTAGGACCACGACCCACATTTTTTCCCAAAAATCTATCACGACCCCATAGTTTTACATTTACAGAATCAATAAAAATAATTTAAAAAAACAAATTTATTCTATTTTATTTCTTATTTACTACTTTATAATAATAATAATAATAATAATAATAATAGTTATAATAATATATTTATAATAATTAGGCGTATGTGATGAATGTGCTTGTTTCTTACAATCTGTATAATTAAAAGAACTTCTCGCGGCCCCCCAAAAATTGACTCGCGACCCCCTAAGGGGTCGCGACCCACAGTTTGAGAAACGCTGTTATAAGTCATTCTTATTGATTCGACGGCGATTAAGTATTATCTTAACAATTTAACTTCAATAATACAGTTTAGCAATAATCATGACCGTCATAGTAAACGTATGAGAAAATCAGAAACAGCTTAGTTTGTGCTGTTATACATGATACGTTATTCTACAGTTAACCAAAAATTTTTATTCAATTGTTCAATCGGACAAAAATATCATAGCTATTTTAAAGGAAAGAGGACTTATTGAAATCAACACTCTTTTTTATTTCTTACTATGGCTCATAAACTAAATTTTATACTGGCAAAGAGAGAAGAAAAGAATGAACCGAAACTTTTAGTTTTTAATACATACCTATAGACACACTATATTGTAATACACTAATTTACCTACATATTATAATTAATAATATAACATATATATGTTAATGCATATTTTTATATAAAAACGTGTGGTAAATACTATATAAAAAGTAGAAACGGGCAGTAGACTACATACAACATGAGTATCATGTGTTACTCATAAGCTTTTATGTAATAAGAGGTGATAATTTTTTATTCTTTAACAGTTTGAATACGATAATTCATGTATAAAGTTACATATAAATATTTTTTTGAAGATTTATTTTTATAGAAAAAATTACTTCCACATAAATTTGAAATTATAATTAATAATATTATTAAGATTTGTGTGGTTGAATATGCTCTAAGTTAAAAGTAAAATGTATATTTAGCCAACTTAATAAAAATAAACTTACTTAAGCTTTCAATATAAGAATCTGGAATGTCAGGGCAAGAATCTTCAGAAGATGAACACTCTTCTTCAAATTCACTACCTAAAATATAATTTTATATAGTTTAAAATATAAGTATAACCAAAAAAGAAACTAGTACATACTAATAGTATAGCAATCATTTGGGTAAATTAATGGTTGATCGTGTCCAGAACAAAATGTTATTAAAATTCTCATAACCTGAACAACATGATCTATTGATGGCCTAATATTAGGATTTTGATCCCAACACCTATAGAAGAAACAAATAATTTTAGAAATATAAGATTATTTAGTAAATTATATTTAAGAAATAATATTCTATATGTTATTTAAGTGTTATTTATTTTATACTATATTTTAAGGCCTTCTTTATTAATTTAGACTTAATACATACACATAATCAAATTATAATTTTGTAAAAATCTGATACTAGTTTGATGTGTAAATTATACTTCAATAATGTATTTTTTCATGAAATAATTAATTATAATAAAAACTTTACATATTAATAAAGTAATGCTAAAATGTAAAACAACTGAATGAGAAAGAATAATGAGTAGTCAATCCAGGTTTGAACATTTCAGATGAGATATTAAAAAAATATTAATATACATACATGAAAAATATAAGCATTAATTTAAATTTAATCAAATAGTTAAAATGTTCCATTATAAAAAATACACAGTACATTATTCTCTGATACATTTTTTGTTGATAACAAATGTATATATAAAAAATATAATTTTAATTAATTTTATACTCTGTTATTAGTTCTTGGAACGGCCGAGGACATTTTTCAAACAATGGTGGTCTGGTTCCCTTATGCACTGCCCACATAATTCCATAAGCAGATCCTCCTATTTCATTGAATGGTTTCAGTCTTGTTAACACTTGCCATAAAATTATACCCCAGCTGTATACATCACACTTTTCAGTATAATTTGAACCTTAATAAAGTTAATATTATTATATGAGAATATGTAATTAATTTATGAAAACTTAGGCAGAATGAATATAAAATCAAACCTTCAAATACTTCAGGTGCCATCCAGGCAGCACTACCTTTATTATTAGTCATATATGTTTTTTTATCGCAAGCCGTTCCAAAATCACATATTTTCAATGTTTTACCTTCATTTACTAAAAGCAAATTTGGTGGCTTCAAATCTCTAAAAAATAAGTACTTTATTGAAGACTTCAATAAAGAATAAAAAGTTTTAAATAGGTTACCTGTGGATTAATGGCTTGGGTTTCATATTATGAAGATACGCTACACCCTCTGCACATTGCAATGTCCAACTGACGGCATGTCCTAAGTTATACTGAGGTTCAGGTTTACAATGCAATACTATAAATATAAAAATATTTTTGTAATATTACTTAAAGTCAATTTTTAGCAACAGATATATTTAGATTTTTATATGTTAATTTCGATCACTTATTTATTATATAAAAACAAAAAACATTAGATTTGTATAACAATCAGAACCTTTGCTATCTTGAATGAAATTATTATTTTCAAATATATATATAAATTTAAAAAAATTAATGAGTAAACTAATCAAACCATTATATAACGATCCTCCTTCAGCAAATTCCATTACAAGACATACAGGATTTGATGTACATGCACCGTATAATTTGACTATATTGGGATGGTTCACTCGTGACAACTGTCGAACCTCAATGGTAAAGGCTTTACGCTCAGCCTCCGAGTCAATGTGCTTGACAGCCACATAGTTGTTACGCCAACGTCCCCGGAAAACAACACCAAATGATCCTTTGCCAACAATCTACACGCAGAAAAATACCGTCAACACACACTCGTCATGGAATCAAGGTTAAACGGTGGTCATTTATACTTCGAGTTTTTCAATTTCATCGTAATCAATTTCTTCCACAAACTTTTGCCTGTGTCCATGCGTCTCTTTAATAGCCATTTGATCTGTTCATGTTCATCGGACGACCTAGGATATAATCGGCAGCGCACATTGCCCAAACAATCAGCGAGAAGTGACAAGATATCGGGTAGAATTATTGATAAATACGATTTCAATACATTCATGTAACACTTTGGTGTATATTTGTGTATATTATGTAGTGAATATTTTTGTATTTGAATTATATTGTTATCCTTTCATCGCTCGTGATTAATTGATAAAAATAAAATCGAGTGATAAATAACTTTTACCGCGGCTGTTCCGAAAACAAAAATAATAAATAAAATTATGACGTTATTCGTGTTTATCACGTGACTATACTGACCGTATCACTGATAATAGAAACCATTTTTCCTATCAACTATCAACTCAACGCATTTTTTTTTTCAATTTTTTATTTTTATACTGAACCATATTACTTACTCAATTACAATACTTTACCCGTTAATAATATATATATTATTCGATGTTCTCATGTCCTTCATAAATTTTCCATGCTGTAGATACTAAGAATTATAAAAAATATGCGTGTAGAACGTAGCCAAAGTCCTACCGAACAGGTTAATGGAGGAATACAATTTAAACATAAAATTACATAATGATCAATTTTGTAACGCTATCCAAATTTTATTTCATTTAGGTAACCAGCATTTTAAATGAAGCTGCCGTTGCTCCTGATGAAAACACTAAACTTGATTTGTTACTTAAAGCTAAGGAAGTACTGGTGTATCAAGATCCAAAATTGCTACCGCAATTCATTAATGATGTGATCGCATACCAAAATGATCACAGTTCAACGATACGGAAATTTGTTGTGGCATTCATTGAAGAATGCTGGTAATTTGGTGAATTTTATATTACCTTTAAACATAATATTCAATAATTTTTTTATTTTTAGCAATAAAGAAAAATCTAACGTATGTGTGACTTTACCAAATTTATTAATGCTAATAAAAGACCGATCTCTAATTGTCCAAAAAAGAGTGGTGCAAGCTGCTAGTAATATTTATAGAGCCGGTTTACAATGGATATCAGTAATCGATTTACCTAGTTCAGATTTATCCAATGTTTGGCAAGATTTGTCTAGTTTGAAATCTAATATAATTAACATGATTGACAATGATAATGAAGGGTATATTTACAAATAATTAATTTATCTGTGTTCAATAAATAGTTGAAATAATTTTGTTTTAGTATCCGTACTCAAGTCATTAAATTTATGGAAACTGTAATACTTGTTCAAACATATAAAAGTGAGGGTGGAATAGATCGTGAGAATGATATGTCACTTGAAGATATTCCTTTAACCCTTAAAGTGACACGTCGTAGAAGACTTGAAGATGAAGCAAGGTTTGTTTAAAATTAAGAACATATGCTATGCAAGGTTAAGGCATCATATAAAGTACATTCATGCTAAATGATTCTTTCAAAACCCTTTTTAAAAAAGTTAAAATGTATATGTAAAAAGAAGATAATTAATACAAAAAAAAATAAGATATAATTGATTTAGCAGACCCTGGAAATTTATCAATTTAACTTGGTTATGCTGAACATATCAATATAATAAAAAGGCTATAAGGATGTTTCACCCTTGCCGTTTCGTCCCTATCTATTAATAAGATAGGACATTTGGCCCCAGAAGTTATATATATTTATTTATACCTACCCATAGGATGTTCAGCCCCCGGAATTTGAAATCACTAAATTTAAATTGTTTTTTTTTATTTAACTTAAAATTTAAATTCTTTTTAAAACGCACAGTTGCACAACAAATTTAAATTCACGATAACCGTATATTGGATAAGCCTTACACACCACAATCGGTGAATAGTTACAGGCACCAAAAAAAAAAAACCAATTAAAATGATAATAATTTTGGTACAATTATATTAAGTAAACATAAATCATAAATATTATATGATTATTTATTCCTGTCACATTTGTATAAATATTATAATTAAAATAAATCTATATAACTTCCAGGGTCCAAATGTCCTATCTTAATAATAGACAAGGATGAAATGTCCGTGGACTCGTTTTTTTGACGGGGATGAAATGGCTGGGCGAAATGTCCACAATTCAATAAAAAGCAGGCGTAAATAGGTAATCTAGTAAGGGTAACAAATTCATGAAAATATTAATTTAAACCAATATTAAGGGGTTCTAGTATTAATCAAACTATGTGCCATTAGTAATTTTATGTATTTTGTACAAGTGTCTAAGAGAAGTGCCCCTATATATAAAAAATATATTTCATACCGGGCCCCTGCAAATCCTTGAGCCAACACTGAATAGTATTAATAATTATCATGAATAGGATACAATATTCATTAAATTTAAATAAATTGCAACACATTTATCCAATCACTTAACATATATAATTTATTGTTTGACATAGTACTAAATATTCATATGGTTTTTAAATTATAGGGTAATGTTTGATCTTCTATCAAGATTTTGCCACTCTAGTAATGTAGGATGTGCAAATTTGATGACTTGTATAGGATCATTAACATTGATTGCCAAATTCCGTGTATCATTTATTGGAAAAGTTTTAATTGCATTAGAAACATTGACTAGTAAGTAACATAATAAAAACAATTGATAAATCATTTATTTATTGAAATATTTAATTTAAATTTAGAAAATATACCTAGTTCTTTAACACAAAGTCAGTCAAACTCTGTTCAAAAAAATCTTAAGTTACAACTATTAAGTTTATTGCGTCTCCCTGCTTCAACAGAACATCAACAAACTATTGGAAAACTGTTGTTAGACATTGGTGCTTCCAATCAAGAAGTAATTTTACAAAAACAATTTTGTTGATTGAAAGTATACTTGAGACAGTATAATTTATTTTTATTTTTAGATCATGAAAGCACTTCAAGTATTGTCTAAAAATGAAGATGGTAAAAAATTATTACGCTCGTTAAAACGTAAAAATGATGATGTTGATGATAAAAAAACAGATAAAGACGAAATTCCAGAAAAAAAAAGGTGTACTGATGGTACTTTAGTTTCAGACACTAATATAAATATGGTTAAATCATGGGTTCTTGAACATTTTTCTTCTGAATCAATCACAAACTTAATTATGACATTTATGGTAAGTATAGTCATTAATATTTAACATTTACCATTATAAAATTATTTCTGCATTATTATACAAATTTGGTAAAATTGTATTTCTTCTGATGCACCTAGGTATCTTAATCATGAATGTGCACCAAATTGGTACCCTCGCCCCCTTGAAAGATTAAAAAAAAGTGTATTAGTTAAATCATCTGTATCTTTATATGATTTTATTTTCTCATTAAATTATGTGTTCTTTATTTTTAGCCAAAATTACCATCAAAAATGCCTTCAGCTTTTGAAACAAACTATACTCCTATTTCTGCTGCTGGTACTGATTGTCACAAACAATATGTAGCAAAATTATTAGCTACTCTATTGTGTAGTTCAGATGTAGTTATTCCTGATCTTAAATATATAAAACAAGATGATGATGAATTAGTTGATGGAATAAAAGAAGAAACATTAAAAATGGAGGAAGAAGACATCCTATTAGCTCAGCCAGCTGAACTTAATTTGAAAAACTGTCATATTGATCCTATTGAAGCTGAAGAATTATCTCTTGATGCTTTACTTAGAATCTTAGAAACTAGTAAAATTATTAAGTCAAAACAATTAAGAGAAATACATACTAAAGTTATAACCAAAATGGCTGTTATATGTAGTGATGATTTTCGTAACAGTAAGTAATATATTATCTAATCAATTATATTATTAATTTATTAGAATTAATTTTTTATTTCTAATAAATCATAAGTATTTTTTATTTTTAATTTAAAATTTTATATTTTTAATATATCTTATTTTTTGTATTGATTTGAACACTTATACATCATTAAGTTTTTGTAAACCATGTGCATGGTTAAAAGTTAAATAATTACTAAAATAATCTATTTGTCAATTTATCTATTTATTATTTTACTAGCTATACTTGATTGGATATGCCTGAATTTGACTAAACATATGAACTTGGGTTTATCATGGTTATATGAAGAATATAGTGTAAATCAAGGTTTTATTAAACTGCCAACAGCATTTAGAAATTCTTTATCTGCGGAACAAAATTACAATACTGTTTTATGTGCATTAATCAGAGCTGCTTTAAATGGATTAGATTCTAAAGAAAAAGAAGAGTAAACATTTTTTATTATATTATTAGTTTATTTACATGCATATTTTTAATGAATATTTTTGTTGAAATTGTATAGTGCTCTTACCATGCTTTATTTTGAGAGTCCATTTATTACTGATGATGCTGTTGATATTTTAAAAGAAATATGTAGCAAACATGCATTTGGTCTTGTCATCCTCAATGAATTGGTTTCTAAACGTCCTCCAAGACAATTAGTTTACTTGAATGCGCTTCTTTTCTATACTTCACATAAGGATGAACAAGTAATACACATTTAAATAATCATAATACTTTGTACTTATTGCCCTAATAATTAAATAGTTTTACATTTTAAGCTGGTTTTAAATGATTTTTAATATTAAAATTATTATTATAAATTTATAATATTACATTTTCAAAAATATTTTATAAATAGTAAATATATAACATTATTAGCATTTTCTTTTTTCTTTTTTTTTTTTTTTTTTTGTGATAATTAAAAAATACTTTTTATCTTATTTGACCACCAAGTATAGAACAATTTCTAGAATAACCAACCATACCATCTAACCTGGGCTAATTTCTAAGAAATCTCCAATATAGATAAAATTAATTGTTTAAAAAATTACTAATACAGAACAAGAATCGAGAAGGATGACTTGTAGTGAAGATAGTTATTAGAGCAATAAGTGTTGAAAATGGTAAAAGGAAAGGCAGAAAAAAAAGTTGTAAATTATGTCACAATTTAACTCATGAGAGTAGAGAGTACAGAGGGAAAAATTTAGGGAAGTTAATGGGTAGGAATTTGATTATATACAAAGCAAAATTATAAAAATTAGATGATTCTAAAACAAAGTGCAGGCCTCAGAATCCACAGAAATTGGTAATGGAAAGAGTTGATTTATTAATAATTTAATTAAAATATCAAAGGAAGTAAACTGAAATGATAATAGCTGAAATTGGAATTAAAAATAATAATTATATTAGAATAGTTAACAGGAAAGAGAATTTGAAATTGATAAATGATAAGTGTAAATTTCACCACAGAAATATAATGCTAAAGATTGACTGAATAATAGAATGTAATTAAAGGGATAAAGAATGTAAATCCTGAAGTGTTGATTGATTTACCCATAAGTATTTAAATTTTTTAAAATGAAACATTATATTATTATGTTCAAATTTATAAAAAATAATTAATTAATTTTATTAAACATTTGATAATGAAATCATCTTTAATACACTGCTTATCTAATTAATATCAAGCAAATTATTCTATTAAGCAGATTGTATATTTTTAGCTTAGAGAGATGGCGTTGAATTTTATAAGTAAATTATATAAAAATAAGGATTTAAAAAATATAATTGAAGAGTATGCTACATTTTACTTGGGATTCTTAAGATTACAAATACCACCTGATGTACTATTTGGTCATGAAACTGGTCGATTGGTTAAATCTGAATTATGGGATGAAGATTCAACTACTGCTTGTTTATATTTATATTTCATGTTAATGACTGATAATTATGAATTAATTCATGAGTAAGATTGTTATAATTTATTTATTATTAAAATTAAAAATTTAAAATGTATTTTATAACTAAAAACTTATTAGATTGGCGGCTGTATTTACACATGCTCCAGGAGAAGTTAAACGTTCAATTATTAAGCTTTTACCTCAACCTATTCAAAATATGTCAATGAATTCACCTGAATTGTTTAGACTCTTAGAAGACATGCCAAAGGGAGCTGAAACCATGATAACAAGAGTATTACATATTGTAACTGAAAAAGGTAAATTGCTATTTTTTATTAGTAGTATTTACAGCTTTTTAGGATTATGCAAATTTTTATTTTTTTCCATTGTAAAAGGAAAACTAAGTGTATAATTATTGGTATGTATAGTTTATACATTTAGACACATAGTATTCTTTTTAAACATCTTGCACTTTCTATATTTTTTTGTTAACTTATTATTTCTCTGAACTTTTAATATGAACTGTGTAAAAATTAATTAATATTATATATATGTTGAATTATTGAAAACCTATAAAAAGGAAACGGTTGAGATACAGTACTATTTAGGGTTTATATTTTACTGAATTTACAGTACATATAATATATTATTTAAAATAGCGGTTCCCAACCATTTTAGTTGTGTGCACCACCAATTTTGTAAAAAAAATCTTTGAGGCTCACTAATAGCTCACCTATTTATGCCAGTTATTAGAAATTATTTATAATAATTTACAAAAAACAAGAGATCTATTGAGTTTATTGTAACCCGCGCACACTTCTCACCTTGCACAGTAAAATATGATAAAAATGACAAATAACATAAACTTATTAATAATAAACGAACTATATGAGATAAAACTACATTCAAACGTTCGATTGTACACTAATTGGACACTGTAGAGTGTATTTAAATATAAATATAATATTTAATATTATGTGGTTCACGGCCATAATTTTCTATCATTACATACAAAAACAACCATGTGTGACTACAAATCTGGTCATAATGACCGTGTGTAACTAATCAAATTATGTTTTTAGTTCAACCGATGTAGAGTTAAAGTTTGTGCTAAAAATTAAGATATATTAATATCTTAATTTATGGTTTATGAAGTCATATAAGTATTAATATTTTATTATAAGATTGAATATTACAGGATCGTGTTCAGTCTTCACTTGTTCTTTAACTTTTGGTTCGAACCTGACAAACTAGAATCAAAAGAAAAAATGAAAAAAATATTTTTAAAATACAAATCTGACCAAATTCTTATTACTTACAACTTAATATACTAGATGGCGTTGTTCAACATAATGCGTTATCGATAAGTTAAAAGATACCAAACATATTGATATTTGTTTTTCATAGAATGTATGTTTATCTTATATTCTATTTTATACTGTGATTCTATTTTGTGTTTATTTCTTGCTTAGGATTTATGCTCTTAATTGTTACTTTACCGAATTTTAAAAAAAAAATGTTATAATTTGTGAAAAAGTGAAATAATTTTACTAATTGAGTCGTTTACTTTAATTATGCAATGCGGTAGTTGTGATTAATAAACAATAAGTGTGTCAATTATTCAAACCATTGGCATTATGAGTTCTCCAAATAAATATAATTACCATACAAGCCCTGAAGGTACGTTTGTGGCTGAAAGACCAAGTGAGTGGCTTTCAAAAAAAAATAGAAAACCTTCTCCATCTGAATCTACGTCATTTGAATGTCCCTATACATTACGCAAGACTGATCAGATTCAATACGATAATCATCTTTGGACCATTGGTGACATTGTATCTTTAAGAAGATCAGCATCACTCAAAGTTTTCTATGCTCAAATTATAGAACTATTCGAAAATAGTTTGTGTGAAAAACGAGCCAAAGTTATGTGGTTGGGTCCTAAATCTAACATTGGAGTCACGTACAAGAAAAAACTGGTACATCATGAGAGTTTTAAACCTAATGATTTTGTTCATATCAATTTGGACAAAAGATTAGTATCTTTGGATTGCTTAAAATTTATCATGCACGTTCCAAACCAATTTGAGTATAAAAAACATATTGGTACTGATTATTTAGTCGATACACATATTATATCACATGCAGAAAGATATGCTGAATCTGATGAAGACGAAGGACCTAAATCGAAAAGTAAAGTTAGACGGCTGCTAAACAAGTGATCAAAATAATCATAATAATAATTATAACTTCCTATTAAATTTATTTAATTTATCTATTGTAAACCAAATTTTTATTTATCTTATTTAATTCCTATTAAAGTGTGTTTATCTTAATCGTTTGTATACAATGTTTTTAATAAATTATGAATTAACTATTTTCCAAAAGAAAAATATATGATTATATATGATTCTTTAAATTTATTATTTTATGTAATTATATTAATTAATTTCATGTTATCATAATAATGATATGAAACTTAATATATTTTGCTTAAAATAAAAATTTTATGATGCAATAAAATTTCATACAATTACAATACTTCATATATACTTGTATATGTTTCTAAAATTATCCTAAATATAAAATGTTTAAAAACTACATCAATATTGTATTTATTTGATTTATTATCAACGGTTTATATTTCCTACTATACCTAACAAACAATATTTAAAAATTTGAATATAACATTACTTATTGGTTAATGGTTTGATTAAAACATGGAAAAAATATTATATATATTTTATTTATACATTTTTATTATCATTGATTTTATTTAATTATTATAATCAGTATAAAAAAAAAATATTTTTTTAAACCTAAACCAAATATGTCAACAATAATGGAGACTAGTAAAAACCAACTAAGAAAAATTAAATCAACCACCATGCTTCTTCCATGCTACACGAGATATCACTCCTGTGAAAATAAACCATCATCAACTCATTAAGAATTGGTCACACCCTATACATTCACTAACATCTAATGAACAAAGGAGAACAACAAGAATGTACCACATGCAACACCCCATAGCATTAGTGAAACACCTGTTTACTGAAGATTTTCAGAAATAAACTGTTGCTGCCATACAATCTTTGTGAAATACTTACACCTAACCAGGAGGCGAAATCAACTTTTATTTACTTACTCAAAAATATGAACTTATTCCAGAAGACATGACTCAAACTTATATTTTTAAAAAACCATTAACTTTTTGTAAAAACCTTTGTAATAATTTAGGAACGCCAATAACTTCGGCAGTTAAAATGTATATTTAAATAAAATAAATCTTCTATTATTCATCTCTAGTCATAAAAGTTGAAAATTATTTATTTTATTTTAAGGCAGATAAAATTTTAAAATAAAAATGTCCAGTTTTTTTTTAAAGTATTATCTAAGAAATTAAAATTTTAAAACTTATACATTTTTCGATTTTAAAAATTACAAAAAAAATGTTTTCTAAAAGACTATTTATATAACAACCATTTAATTTGAATTGTTGCAAAAATGCAAATTACAGTGGGATTCAAACTGTTTGCAGTATAAAATGTATACCAATAGTTAATAGATTCTTAATAGATTCTTGTTGCTGTATAAAATAATAAATTGCATATTATAATTAATATTAAGGATGATAAATTAAAAAATTAATCATTTAACATAGTAATTACCTCATAATTCTAATTTATTATGTGTAAAAAGTGTCTTAGCTTTTAATTATTTTCTTATGATATATTATGAATCATTATTAACTATAATTATTGATGTGTTCACCCATTGACCATAAACGATATAGTGTTCTATTATTATTATAGGTTTTTTTTTTTAATTGTGTTAACTACCCAAATGTATACATCCAAAATATCATCTACTTATGACTTATAAATCTCTATTTTTACTATTGAACTACATAGGTTTTAGTTCATTATCAATGATATATTGTATTTTTTATAGTTTTTTCCATGCATTATAGAAATTTCTGGAATTCATCTAAAACTTATATCTAAAGCAGTGGTTCCCAACCGGTATGCCGCGAACACCCTTTAAATGTGCCGCGATAAATTTATAAATTGTTTTATAAGTATGTATTTACAAACTTATTATTGATATTCGAGATGAAAACTGATCGAACTAATCGTAGATACATATATTATATATTGTAAGTATGCCCGTCGCGGCCGTCTCGATCGATCGATTGTATTAATATATTTCACAATAAATAACCATCTAATAGAGTAGACTGTAAATAGTATACATACATACATATATATATATATATATATATATAAAAAATATGGTTCACATAATTTATGGATTGGTGTGCCGCGAAAATTTTGTTGGAAATGAAGTGTGCCACATTGTTAAAAAGGTTGAAAACCACTGATCTAAAGCTTTATATTTTTCACAAGAAAGAAGCGCATTACTTGGACACATATATAAAAATGGTTACAACATAAACTCACTTTGAGAAGTTTTTCTAAATCAAAATAATTTGGAAATGTCATATGGATAAAAAAAGCAAAAAAATTTAAATATATCAACAGATCAGTTGTTTGAAAATATTTGTCTTTATCAATAATGAAAAAAGAAGTACCTATTAATAGATTTTTTCATTCCAACTTGGTGTAATTGAGAGTTGAGGTTATAGGAATGTTGTCAAATCTTAACCTCAGTGTCCAAATACTTAATATAAAGTTTTTTTAGGCATTTACTATCTAAAATATAAATTATAAAAAAATACTAAGCTTATAAAATAACTAGTTCTTAAAATATGTCACGTAAAGTTTTTACTGATGTACATTGTTTAACTTTTTTGTTAAATGTACAAAGGTTGATCTTTAATTTGATTCCATTTATCATTAATTTCTTAATGTTTTTAGTAAAATAATTCTTGTTAACTATTTAAATTGTTCAAAATCTTATATTTAAGAATTATAATTTTATAAATCTTTATCACATTGTTGCACTTAATTATGGTTGCCACACTTCCCGGAAAACCGGTATTGTCACCGGTTTTCGACTGTGTATCGGTGTCCCGAGAAATGTTTTCGGGATGTCTATATGTCCTGGTTTAGACGTTTAGAGGAAACGTTAAATTGATTAATTTTTAATTTCGACAATTTTATCTCAAAGTACAGTTTTAATCGTAATATAAACAATATTTAATTTGTACTTATAAATATATAGGTAATATATTTTATTTTACAAAAATATTATTAAATATTATATTGTCTGTCATTAATGGTTCTCTTAATATATATTAAAAATAATTAAAGTAATAAAAAGTATATTTTTCAATAATGTCTTTATTTTGTCCCGGTTTCGCCTTATAAATTTATGGTAACCCTACACTTAATATCAGTAGGTAAAATAGGATAAAACAAAAATCCTTACTTTTTCTAAAAATATAATTTTAAATATATAAGAAATTGTAAATTATTTTGTTTGTTTTTTTTTATTCTAGAAACTCCATCAATTGAGTTAGTTTCAAAAGTAAAAAAATTATATGACAATCAGATAGTTGAAGTACGTTTTTTGGTACCCGTTATATCTGGCTTGGACAAAAAATATATTTTAAATGTTTTACCTCAATTAATTAAACTGAATCCCAATGTTGTAAAAGAAGTATGTGATTAAAATAAAATACTTAAAAAATCGTATTAACTTAAAAATTATTTGTCTTTATAGGTTTTTAATAGAATATTAGGAATAAATTACACATGTTCAAATGCCAATCCTCCTGTAAGTCCAGCTGAACTATTGATTGCTTTGCATACAATGGATTCTGATCCTAATGATTTAAAGTTTATAATTAAAGGTTGGTAATATTATATTTATAACGAATTATATCCTAATAAATTTATGTATATATTAAAAAAAGTAAATAAATATATTTGATTTTTATGTAGCTACATCATTGTGTTTTGGAGAAAAAACAGTATTCACCCAAGAGATATTAGCAATTGTCATGCAGAATCTAATGGATGTTAATCCTCTACCAACATTATTGATGCGTACTGTTATACAATCTTTAACAACTTATCCATGTTTGATTGGCTTTATTATGAATATACTGCAAAGACTCATACTGAAAAAAGTGTGGCACCAAAAGAAACAATGGGAAGGATTTATAAAGTGCTGTCAAAAGACAAAACCCAACAGTTTTCAAGTGTTATTACAACTGCCACCAGAACAATTGGAAGATGTTTTATATCAATGTCCAGAAATGAGAAAGTCATTATTGGATCATGTATTAAGTTTTACTGAAGTTCAAGTAAGAGTTTATACATTTATCAAAGTAAATAAAAACTAAAATGATGTTTTTTTAAAAAGCGTTCACATATACGTCAAGCAATTATGGATGTTGTATTTGGCAAAAGGTTGGATGTTCCGATGTATCAAAATTTAAAAGTAAAATGTGAACCTGTAAGTAATAAAATAAAAAAATAAATTTAAATAAATTTTAATGAACCTGTTATAGTGACAGTGAGAAAAAAATAATTTTAGTAATTTTATATTAAGGCACTGTTTTATTTTTAAAGTTATTTGTTTTTATTCAGGCAAAACCTATTTAACAATGGTCTTTCTATTTTGTTTATTAACTATTTGTTATATAAAACCATTAGTGGTGGTGTAATAAAACTTTTGTATATACACATTCTAAAATATACAATTTATTTAGCTTATGTGAAAAATGAATAGGATTTTCTGAGATTTTTTTATAAGACTTAATTATATAATGTATTTATAAAGTTCTTTTTTATTATTTTTATAGAAGCAAGAAAAACAATCACCCGAAAAATTGTCCCATCTGAAAGAGGATGAACTTAGGCCTCCAGGTGATTTTGACGAAGACTCAATGAACGAAATATAAATGTATTACAACATAATGTAGTTACAGCCCATTTAACTTTGATTATAAATTAAACTCGATTAAGTGCTACATTGAATATGTCTATACATATATATTTTTTTTTATTGTCGTTTTAGTTTAATATATGTAAGGTTTTGTCTATTTATATATTATATTTTTAATTATATAAATTATATTCTGTAGTAAAAAAAAAAAAAATCAATAGCCATTGTTTGTTTATTATAAAATTACCAAAAGCTCCTTGGTAACAGTTTGTGTATACAAACAAAACATATGCTAAAGCAAGCTTTGATAATTTGCATATTATGTCTTCAATGTGTCAAATATGAACTATATAGTTACAATAAAAGTTTAGTTTTAAAGTTAAATTTTTATTTATCAGTTTGAAGAATGTCTAACAGTATACATGTAACTAAATTACCAAAAACCAGTTCTGAAATCATTAATGAAGCAAAAGCAGCTTTGAATCCACCTCTTTATGTTAAGCCATTAACAACAAATAGGCCATTCACCCCACACGAAAGAGTTTTTTTTTGTCATCGACGAACTAATCGACCACCTAGTGCTTTTAAGTATGTGAAAATTGTTGGTTTAGTGCTTGTAATACACATGATATATGTAATGGGTGTGTTTAAAATAGATTACAACATATACTGTTACAAGAAAAGAAAAAAACCTCTTGTACAAAATTACCAGCTCTTAATAAATCAAAATATAGTAATATTGATAATTGTAAGATGTAATACTTTCTTGGGTAATTTATTGTTATTTTTATAATTAATAATGTTATTCAATATTTTATATACACTGAAGCTAATCATAAAAAAGAAGTAAAAAGTCAAATACAAAGCAGCTCACCAAACACAACTCGCCAACGATCTAATTCAGATGTTTCAAACAGCACAAGCTTATCAAGAAAAAATATATCATCATTATCGTTTCCCCTTTCAATTGACGCATTACTTAAGGTACTGTTTGTTGAACATTGATACTACTTATACATTCATTTATTTTTTTTAAAAACTATCATATCTATATTATTTATATTTATCATATTTTTCCGATAATGTTACTGTGTAAATATTGAAGTGACATAAAAACGAAGAGATATTTAGTATCCATATGTTTGTTAAAGAAAAAGGAATAAAAGTTATAGTTTAGTACTCCAGTTTTTTATTCTGTTTTCTAAAATCTTAATTATATTTGTCCTATTTGTATGTACATTTCTGTTTTGTAACATACTAAAGTTTATTATTATTTGATTTTTAAGTATAAAACTTTCCTAATTAAAGTTATTTTCCTTTCAAATTATAGTTTTTAATATTTCGAAAACATGTATTACCTATTACCATGTGGAATATAGTACCCAGTACCTAGCTTATATTGGTCCGTTTGCTTAAATAGTAGTAAGTATTTAATTATTAATTTTCTATATGTACCTATATATATATATATATATATATATATATATATATCAAATATATAGATTTTATTACATACTTTATTTTTTATATACATCAATATCAACTATCATTGTTTTCTATATTGTAGAATATATTTCATAATGTGTAATAAATTCTTAATCTAAATATTTAATTACATATTTCTGAGACATTGATCAAGTGCTTTCAGACATTGAATTATGTTTAAATCTATTAAACAGATATTTTGAGCCCATAAATGAATGTTTTGACCAAAGTCTATTCGTTGTTTTTCAATTTCTTGAATTTTGTTTTCATTTTTCAACATACTCACTGCTTTACTTAACTTATAACGCAAGTGAAAAGTATTCACGTTTGGATAGTTAAGTTTTAACATTTTTAATAATGTGTCTTCTGTTGTGTTTCTATTAGTTTTGATAGTTTCTAGAACATCATTCTTTACTTTATTCAGTTCGATTTTCAAACAAGGATCCATCAAGAATATTGCAGTAGATACAAATTTAAATAATTTTATTCTTAATGATTAATACAACCAACATTCGTTACTATAGATACTTAATTTATAACTTTTAATCATTTTTTTTTTATAATCTGAATGTAAATAATATTTTTTTATTTTATTTTTCAGTTACATTTTTGTACTTTGAAAGTTTAACTGATTATCAGTTATCGTCTACGTTTTATTGATTATTATTTATTTAAGGTCTTTCCATAGTTATTGATTTTTACTGATAAGTTCTAAAAGTATAAATTTATTTGAGTAAATAAATAAATTACTTAATAATTGGCAAACGATTTATTCATTTTTGACTTGTGTAATTTATTCATTATCAAGGGTTTGATATATTTTTAGTAAAAATAAGAAATATTTGGATTTAGTTTTGGTCGTCTCTAATCCACTACTTACTAGTCAAAGAAAATTAAAATAGTGAAAGTTCTGGGATGCACTAATAATGGTCTCTATAAACTCCAACTTTTTTTTAAAATACATTTGTACTTTGAGAGACTATGTCTATTTTCATATCTTTAAGATAAAAAAGACCACCTAAAAATATTAAAAGCTCATGTTAAAAATCATATGTATAATGCATATTTCCACATACTTAATGATTTAATATACAATATACATTTATGCTTCACAAAATTAAGAACACTTTATTGGTAATAAATAAGTTATATCCTGTGTATATTTTCCCAATACTTAATAAATATATAATATGTCCTTGTTGCTTAGGTTTGATAATCAATTTTTATTGTACCTTGCATGTTATACAGTACACATAAATTATATTTTTTTAACTAGAGGTATCCATTTTTTATCTCATAAGTTATAAATTTATTAAGTATTTGAATGGTGTAAAAATTAGTTTTATAACTCTTGAATACCTATGAATTCAAAACTCATAGAATGTAAACTAAATGTGTATGAATTTATTTTAAAATTTTTTTCAGAATCACTATGAACAAAACTATTACGATCATGAATACATGAGTCATGAAAATGAAATCAACGAAGCGCGGGCATTGTGTTTTGATGTCCCCACTGACTGTTTATGGGTTGTATCACTAATCGAGACTAAAATGAAAAAAAGTATGTTGGTGACAAATTATTTCATAAATAACTATAATAATTAATATAATTATACATTACATCTTAACTGAACTTCAAAGAGGATTACGAGTAATTGGTATTTTAAATATATATATAACACTAATTTAAATGCATAAACCTTGAATAGGTTTCTATCTCTGCTTCAATTTAAATTTAAAAAAATTTGCAAGATATAACAATCAAGTTGCAAACAGATAATTTATATATTATAATAATAAATAGATAATATAGATAATATATATTAATTAACAATTCGTAGTTGCAAGTTACTGATTCTATCCATATAATAAGGAAAACCGAATGATTGCATATTATATGGGAGTGTGTGATGCTTATTAAAAAAAAATAATAATAATTTTGTTTAAAATTATAGATTTTGAAACCAGTGAGATGTGCGCTCTGTTAAATAAGTTAGCACTGGCAATAAAACAAGAAAACCTATCGGTTTTACGAGACGAAAATAAGAAAGAAATTATATTGAAAACAATATTTAAACTTGTTAATATTTCAACTGACGACGAACTTACAGTTCATTTGTTATTGGTATTATTTCAAGTAAGTATATTATAAATAATTATAACATGTAAATTATGTTTAAAAATTTAAAGTATAATAATTTAAAATTAACATATTGGTTTTAGATGCAAGTTACTGGAAAGTATTTGGCATCTGCTTGCAAGCTAATATTCAAAATATCTCGTTTGGATAAAAATGATTGTTTATTCCTCAAAACCAATGTTTTAACTCTTTTTGTTGACATACTCGGCTTAGCTACACCCCACGAAGACTCAGAGTCTTTGATTTACGGCTACGGCGCTTTAAAATTCCTTACAATGAATCCGGATCTAATGGAACGGGCTATGAATAATGGTTGTTTATCGCTTATGTTATTGCATTTAAAAATGATAAATTTGGAGAGAACAGAACGCCAAATCTTACCAGAGACTATTAACCATGTTCTATATCAGTTGACTGGCACTCTCAGAAATATAGTCAATGATAGGAAATTCTACGACCAACTTTTATTTTCTGGTGGTTTGAAAACTATGTACCGCTCTTTGGAATTGTTTTCTGGAGATATTGATGTTGTAACGAACATTGCAAGAACTTTTAGGTACCAGTATATATACTTACGTGTCATTCTAATAAATTAATTATTTGTCGATCATGCTGTATTTGCATTGTTATAAATTTTATAATGTTAATTTGTTAATAAGTATTCTGTCCACCGATGGAAAATGTTGCGAAGCACTTGTGGAATGCTGGTCGAACGTATCCGTATTAATGTCAATCATTGATAAATATCCCGGACAAGAAGAAATTGTTGTTCGCATTACCTATGCATTAGGAAACATACTGACCAATCACGAAAACGCTAGACATCAAGTAACGTAATTTGATCAATTATTTTTGTTAGTTAAAAAAAAATTCTTTTTTTACGCATGGGTTTTACTCTATACATATAGCTGTATGAAACGCATTGTTCCATGAGCACTTTTTTGAATTTATTGCAACTATACTTGGAAAAAGATCTAATGAATATATCACGTGACATCAAATTCAACATTGTCGAGGACGTGTTAGTAAAAGTAATAAGAATTCAGTTTCTTGTGTCGTATAGAATAAAAATCAACGGATTTCGTTCACAGGTAATACGAGTCGTGGTTAATATGAGCATACAACCAGAAATCGGTGCGAAATTAGTAATGGCGGCAAACGATAGTCATCCGGTTCATAAAGTAAAAGAATGTGAACAGTTTTTAGACTCTTTGTTGACCATTCTTAGACGGAAATCTATTGATGAAAACGAAGAACTCGTGCTGGCTGCGCTGGCAGCTCTGAACAATTTATCCTACTACGCAGACATGTCAAACTCGAATCGTGGCCCTTTTAACGCTCGTCAATTAGATATAACACAAGGTAATCAGAAATAAACCTATTTCTTGTCCTTTTATATAATTAAGTAAAATTTATTGTTCATAATAGCATTAAGCTTACTACTGACGACTAGAAATCATACTTGTAAAGTAGAAGTAGCCAGAGTATTTGGGAATTTAACTAGATCATCTACGGTTCGAAACTACTTATTGGAAACTAGTGGTAAGTGTAATAATTCACAAGCTTCAAATATGTACAGAATTTCACAGTTATAAGTTACTTCAAACTTCTATTTTTATTCAAACAATCATCCACCACAGAATAAAAGATTAGGTTATTAAATGTATCATTTTTTTTTTTTTTTTTTTGGTTAATTTTCATATAGGTAATTTAATTATTAATTCACTATTGAGTTTAAAATATAAAATTATTTGACCGAAAGATATATAAGTACCAACAACGAATCTATTATTTTATATCAATATAATTTTTGTACAAAGTCAGTATTTATTCATTAAGTGTGTGTTTAAAAATAATTTTGGAATTTATGTTTCAAATTATAAATTACATACATTTTGAATTAGAAATTAAGTAGATAGTATACAAATATGTGTATTCTTGATTAAATCCAATCAAAAACCTATACAAAACATAGGAACTAGTACCTAGTCTTATTATTAGTTTATATATCAAAGATTTAATTGTGTATACCAAATCGTTATCCACTGAAAATTACGTTATTACAAGCGTAAGATTAAAATAAAATGACATAGAAATATAAGTAATACTTTCACGTAATCATTTGTAGCTTATATTAAATAAAGTAAATAATAATTAAAAATTAACAAATATTGAAATATTATATAATAAAAATAAAAACAATTTTATGAATAAAATATAAATAAAATAATTAACGCGTTCTTAAACTTGCTTATTCTATATTTACAAATCAAAATTATATTTAATTTTAATGGTTCATAATCAAGAATAGCAAAATTTTATATTAAAGATAATTTTAAAACATTTCTTATTTTATAAACTCTCTCCAATACGTGTAGAACTACAGTTTTTCATCTATTCAGTTTTAAATTCGGAATGCAGAGAAAAATATCTTTTATGTTATACATTGATGTTTTTTTAATTACTTTTTCTTTGATAAAACTTTCGGATAGTAATAATAACAGGAATTTAACAAAAAAGGCACTTTAAATAGGTCATATATTTTTATTAGTCCTAATTGCTGATGGAAAACTAAAAAAAAAACATTACGTTCTTTCAAACTAGAGAAATTATACGTTCAATATATATGTATATAATTCTATAAAAATTTTAAAATTTAACTCCATTACTATTTTTTAATAAATATTAAGTATTTAATACGTTTATTTATAAAACCTATCATTTATATCAATTTAATTATTTATTTCCTAGTTATGTAAAAGAAAATAATTAATTGAAAAGTATGAAATGATTATTTTATGGAAATTAAATGCAATTAGTTTAACATAAATATCAACGTACATAGTCTTGTAAAAATTTCCAATTTACCAGGAACCCACAGAGTTTGATTTTCAACTAGAAGAAAATTGTTTATGGGATAAGTTTTTATTACAGAAAAATAACTATATATTATATATTAAGTTTTATAATAATTCGCAAATCTTTAATGAAAATATCATACTTTATTTTTATGAATAATTTCAAAAACGTGCTATAAATATAAGAAACCTAGCTCGTTTTCTGAACTATATGAATTTCAAATTTCAAATTATAAAATATTATAATATTCTATACAGCTTATGGCGATGAGGTGAATAAAGCGAAACGAGTTCTTATAATCTCAATATGTTCTCTTTATATATTTAAAGAATTGATATTCGCTCTAGTATAATCATATATTATGGATAATGGATATGACTAAAGACCGGATATAATTGTATTAAAAATATCTTAAAATTGCACTAAAAAGATGCCAAAATTGCAATGAAAATGAATCAAAATTGCAGTACAAATATGTTAAAATTGCAATGAAATATATTAAAATTACATAGTAAAATCATATCAAATATATAATCATTAATTACTTACTTAAATAATATTATGGACATTAATATAATACTTACAAAATATATAATTTTTCTGAATTAAAATTTATAATTATATACATTTCTAAATTGTCTTTTTGAAAATTGTATCGTTTGTCACTTAAAATATGTTTATATATAGAAAAAGTACGTTCAACGTAGACACTTGTTATCGATGCATATTTAAAATAGTTAAAAAAATTGGATGATGTATCTAAATAAACATTTTGATTTCCTGTCATAATCTCAAAGTAAGTTTTAATAGTTTTATACCCTTAATTTTTTTCTAAAACATATTTTAATTTATCTTTAACTATTTTTCCATTGAGCCCGGGAATATTTATAGAAATATTTACACTAATTATTTTTATTTAGTTAGTATTTGTTTAGTATTTATTTATTTATTTATTTAGTATTTATACTAAATATGTTTAATTATGTAATTGACTATTTCATTCTTCTAAACTTGTGAGTTTTGTGGATAACTCAGATGAATATAATTTTAAAAATTATAAACTACATTTAACTACTTGTAAAAATTTACGTCGTAGTTATATTTTTTATGTAAAATAATTTGTATATTTTATCACGTGAAGTATACTAAAATTGCAAAATCGTTGAAAATTGAAAAAAATTACATTTTTAAATTAAATAGGAAGACTGTAATTAATCTGATTCGTATACATATTTGATTAGATTTGATTTACTGGGTATCAATAAAAAGTGACAATATCAATTAAATCCGCTCTTTAGATATGACGTAACGTTTGATGTTATAATTACAAATTAGGTATTGGTCTGAAGTAGCCTCTTTCAATACTGGGAAGCAGACATAATTCTCCTTTGTCTATGAAAATTGATTTGACTTATAATCCGGTGTGCCGCCTACACTAAGTAGAAAAATAAAAATTATTGATTTTATTTTGATTCCTAGTCAGTTATAAAAATTTGTTCTTATAATTTTAATAATTATAGTGTCTCGTTTTCAACATATATAACTTATCAACCGTTCTCTTTCTCTCTAGGAGTGTTGTTATTGTTTTATGTAAATAAATAAATTATAATTAATATTATTACAAAATTATCACGAGGGGGGGAGGGATGAGCCGTGGGGTGATTGCACCCAGATATAAATGCAGTGCTCGAATAGGTCAAGGGATTTTATACAAAACGGTTGCGTACCTCTACTTTAATGACAAAGCTTTTTTTGAGGGGAAGGGAAGGAAGGAATTTGGGGTACGCTGTCTAACGATGTGCCCCAATAGTTCTATTTTTTCAACTTGAGAAATAAAACGAATGCAAGCCGTTTATGTACACGGGCGTTATGTGTTGCAGGACTGTTGGCCATCACCAACTGCTTGGACTGTAGCGGTGACAAGGAATTATTGACCGTGTGCAGCGGCGTGCTGGTCAATATGACGTCAGACGAGAACCATCGGGAAGCGTTCAAGAACTACGACGGCGTCTCGAAAATGGTGAACATCCTGCGGTCGTCAGGCGAACGCGATTGGCCGCTGTTCGCGCTCGTATGTCAGACCCTGTGGAACGTGTGCTCAGGCGGTGACAGTTTTCCCGGCGACCCGATGACCGTACTCGACACGCTGGTCAGACTTACCGGTAAGTACGGAAAACGCGGCTGAAACGAAAAACCCGCGCGTGAAATTCGAAACGATACGCCATTAATTTTTATCCTTTCTGTAATTATATTTGCACTATACTGTTTTGTGTGTGTGTGTACTGTATACAGATGAGGAACAATTATTCGGTGAGCTATTGTCATCGGACGAGGAGAAAGCGGCCGAGTACAAGCAGTGGGAAGATTTCGCTTCGGTGGCTACGAATCTTTTGGAGTGGTTAGATGAGCTGCTGGAAGGCAGATTTGATAACATATAGTACAATTAACTGACCATCTTTATTTAAATCATCTACCGTCCGTATTTACTAGATATACACTTGGCTGTCCATAGACAGGCACGTAAATACGTGCTTAATTGGGGGGGAGGGTGATTAACTTTAAAATTATTATGGCTTAAATAATGTTCAATTAAGTGATATACCGTTTATCTTAATTCGTGATTTTTACAATACGGTCTTTGGGTAATTGATTTTATGCCTCCCCCCCACATTGATTACGTGCCGGTCTATAGATTGAAGTAAGTATTTCCATATTTATTATTTACATTATTATCTAGATTAGTATATAAATACGGTATTAATCAAAGTTATCGATTACAATTTTTATAGATCCTCTACGAGCAAATATTATAATAGACATTTGATTAATCCACTTGATAAACTTTTCAAAATGTTTACCATTTATAAAATTTTTAATTTTCACTTTCCATGTATACATATATAGTTGTAATGAGTCAACATATCTTATATGTTCATTAATTATATCTTTTTATGTAAAACTATGTTATTGTTTTCAAAAAATATACATTAGATTAATACCTATTCGATTTATACATTAATATTAATTAGTTTTTTATATAGATTCGTATTATTTATTGTTATTATTGTTTATATTATTTATGTCATATTATAGACACATAGGGAATTCAAGTAAAAATATAATATATGTATAACGTAATTATTTATTCATTATGTTATAAATATTATAAGATAAGTAACATCACATTTTACTATCGAATTGTTGATTTTTATTTTATTTTCATCGTTTGAACAATCATATCTCATATAATAATATATTATATATTTGTATAGATACAATTAGTAGAGTTTTGAATAAATAATTTAATTATATTTATTATTTACAAGCCTTTAACTTGAAATTATGTTTAATCATGTGTTCAGTTTTCACTCGCGCTTTTACATATTAAACGCTTCAACATGACTTATAATTGGAACACAAAGAAACGGAAAGAAAATAATTGGTCCCAATGATGACAATCAAACAATACACTTAAATACACAAATATAATACAAATTAATAGATAAATACGTCAAACATAAATAATGATCTAATTGATTGTGTGACTGTTCAGTGTTTATGAATTAAAATCCATTTACTAAAATTCAATATTAACGTTTTGAATAAAAGGGTAATATTGCATTATAACTCTAATAAATGCCAATGTTAACAAAAAATGACATTACAATTTCTTATTATAAAGAAAAATATATGATGTTACTTTTACATCTATAAACAGATGATTTAATAATCAAGTATGAAATACAATTATATATATTTATTTTTTTTGTGTGCCTGTTTTAAATGATCCAAGAAACTTTTGAACAGTTGCCAAACAAAACACAAGAACATTGACCTCAGTAAAGGATTTTTAAAACAGTCTTGCATTATTGTATACAAATAATATGTGGTATACGACTATATATAGGTGCACCTAAATCCGTACAAACAAAACTGTGAACATTATATTATTATTTTTAATTCGATTACGTACTATATTATTTTGTCTGCGCAATACAGCTAGCGTACAACAATCGGGCGCGTGTGTTCAAAATAGAAGTTTGTGTTTCTTCACCTTTACTGGCATTTAAACTTATGGTTTATATATACGATTCACAATGTTAAACATATTGTGTATCCGTTGACGGTGCGATAAAAATGTTTATCTTTTCTCGTGGCGTGGTTAAATGTATTGGACGAGTAATTGTTAAGATTTAAGAAAAACGTTGTCCTGCAATCGGGTTTGAGAACGAAAAACGAATCACAAAAGGTTCAGGACGCACAAGCCCGATGTGGGTACGGCTGCTTTACACATGTGACAACCTATTTTTTTTCTACACGCACCTGCTTCTTTTACGGGTCATTCGTGAATGTGTATGAAATATTGTACACATTGTGTCCTTCGTAGCCCACGTGGTCTATTATGGCTTACGGAAGGCGAACAAATAGAAGGTCCCTATATAGATATAATAGGTACAGTTTCATAAAATAAGCAATATGGGTATCTGCTGGTTACCGAATGTAATATAATATAAAATGCATGCCGAACGTGTAGACATATACCGTGTACACCGCAGTAATCATTGTATCTTTGTACATAATGTATTCTGCGTCGTCGATCAACGGTTGTAAGAGAATTGTTTTCGTGTGCCGGTGATGATGTCTCGGTGCCAATCACGTCAACAAATCAAAGAAAAACAACAATCCGGTGTAGGTACCTACGAGGCGACGACGGGGATGACAACGATAATATAAAACGCTGTTGATCGTGGAACATATTTTTAGCCCCAAAAACGGCTACCACGGAGGATAACGTGACAAAAATCCACGATCTCATATTGTCAGACCGCCGATTGAAGGTGCGTGAGATAGCTGAGACAGTAGGTATATCAAAAGACCGCGTAAGTCACATGCTCCATGAAATTTTGGGCGATGGATGCCGCGTTTGCTCACCCCAGACAACAAGCGCAATCGTGAAACCATTTCAAATCGATGTTTGACGCTGTTTAGGCGCAATCCTAAGGAGTTTTTACGTCGTTTTGTGACCGTCGACGAATCATGGATTCATTGGTATACATCAGAGACCAAGGAAAAGTCGAAACAATGGGTATTTACTCGGTGAACGTGCTCCGAAGAAGACAAAGACTGTCTTATCGGCCGGAAAGGTAATGGCTATAGTTTTCTGGGATTCAAAAGGTGATTTACATCGACTACCTGGAGAAGGGCAAAATGGTCACAGAGTTCTCCTATACCGAGTTATTGGGCCGATTCGACTCCGAATTGCAGAAAAAACGGCCCCATTTGGCGAAGAAAAAAGTGTTTCTCCACCATAACAATGCACCGGCTCACACCTCCGCCGTCGCCACAACTAAATTGGTAGAATTGGGCTGCGAACTACTACCTCATCCACCATATTCGCTAGATTTGGCCCCATGCGACTTTTTTTTGTTTCCAAACTTGTAAAAGTTCCTCGCTGAGCAGAAATTTGAGTCAAATGAGGAGGTCATCGCCGCTACGGAGACCTACTTTGCAGAACTCGAGAAAACGTATTTTTCAGACAGGTTAAAGAAGTTGGAACATCGTTAGATCAAATGTATCGAGCTAAAAGGAGACTATGTTGAAAAATAAATTGCCACTTTTCCAAAATATTCGTTTTTTTTTTAGGCTAAGTATTTATCGGACCACCCTCGTAAATAGCCCCCTCTTGGTGAGTGATAAAAACTGCCAAGTTGTTGATTAATTATTTGGTTTATTTGATTATTAAACCATGCATTATAATTAATTGATTAGTCTTGTGTATGACAACAGGTGTTTGTGGGATATGAGTGACAAAAATTACCATAACAAAGATATTTCTTGGCAAAAGTAGGGAAAAATCGCAACAAAACTCAACAGTAGTATTTGGTAGAACACTAACTGCTGTAAGATAGCAACACTAACTTTTCCGGATGGTCCCTAAATTTTCGAAATACCATTTTAAATCCTCATTTTTTGTCTCTTCCAGAAAATAACTGGTTGACAAGCTCTATTTTTTCATTGTTCAACAACAGTAACTTCATTAATGAGCTTTCGAGAGAAAATAAAATTCATCGATTTCGTTTATGTTTGCTGGACGGCAGATACGTAACGACTACGAAAATATGCGAAAATCGCGCGCAGTGTAACCGCCTCGTTCTGACGTGGATTTAGGACGTACTTGTCAGAACTCGCAGTGGCGCTGAAGTCAATTTTTAGAGGTATTGCAAAGCATACCTGCAAAGCAAGACCCACCCACCTACCCACAGTAGGTTGAGCAACGGCCCTCAATTTTTTTCTATAATTTTTTTTATTTTCGAGCAATAATAAGTAAATTTAATGATCAGCGTTTAGGTTTATCATAATGTTAGGTATGATGATGAATAAAATAATTTATAACTTTCATAAATTAAAATAATGTTAACCAGTATGTTTGGCTTGCTTACCACACCCACTCCTCACAAGTATTGCAACTGCAATACATGGATACAGGGATCGGCGCCAACGAGAACTCGCGTCCATAATGCTCGTAAACGTTTCACGCGCCTATGTTGCGGTATCTAATCAATCGACGGACGAATAACGCACGCGGATTCAATAACGTGTGCAACACCGCAACGTGCGCACAACGATAATATTATGTCCTTCGGCAGTGTATTTTGTTGCTTACTTTTTATTTTTTTTTCACATCATATCCATATATTTCCGTAATCTCTGTTACGCGCGTAAAAAATATTTTCATAAACGTTCGCGTGCACCACCTATGTGCCGGACACGGTATTGCATACGCGGCGTGTGTACAACGGTGTGCGCGCGAACAGATAAGAAAAACTTACAACACCGCCGGTGCGCGTATCGTATCGTTTACATACGTATTGTTCGTGTTGCGTGTGTAATGTGTAAATGTTACGCGCGGCGGACGCAACTATTCGTTCATGTGTTCTACATTAAAAGGTCGGACAACCGTGTCGCTATGGATGAATAATGTGCACCGAACGAATCTCGTACGCGCACGAAAACGAACACGGGGCACCACCGGTGCGCGGGGTGCATTAGGTATTGAAACGAATAATAACATTTAATTGATTCGCGGCCATTTGGAGGGGGGGAACGTTACGCAAGTGTAATCGATTTGACGCGGGGAAACAATAATAGGTGTATAATGCGAACAACGATCGTATCGCGTGATTCGTGCTCGCCCTATGCTTGAGTCGGGGCGGGTACAACGGTTCGTCCCGGACAACTCATTTAGATACGTACTCAACTTTTTCGATTGTACCATCAACACCCGTACCGAAGCGAGGGGTCGTCCGACACCTGGGGTGCGTCCGAAATACATTATCGGCCTGTGCGCTGCCTTTGTTCTCGCGCTACCTGACCTATTACGCGATCGTCGTCTTGTTTATGTCAAGTCTTAAATGTTCCGTCGCTCCGATGCCGACCAAAACTTTATCTAGTTTGCTAGACGCACCCGACATACATTTCTTTCGGGATACCTTCCTGTAATAACAGTAGTCAAGGACAGTTCTGCATATCTACACGCTCTACTTTATATGGATATAACGATCCTATGTCCACCGTCGTCATATGCCCCGGTCACTCCGGTAACAAAGATATTTTCCTTCTCTCTTTCATATTTGCACTTTTAACTTTTATTGTTTTAGTTATCGTATTATTCTATCCGTTCAATATTACATTGTTATGTTCACTGCGTTTATTTTTTTGAATAAATAAATATAATACACCTATATTGAATACCACACCCTCCTAAATCTTAAAAACAAAAATGCCAATGTTAATTATTATGCTCAACTTAAATTTGCAATAGGATAATTACAAAATTACAATAAAATTACAATACATTAAATTATTAAAAACTTGTATTTCGTATTAGGTATGTGTCAACGTGATGTTT